AAAATTTTCTTTTACTTCACGATTTATTTTCTAATACTAATTTGGCAATATAGAACGATGTCATAGCTGCAATTGTAAAACTTTTGATATTTCAATTTTTTGTCAAAAACAAACATTTTAGCTACTTTTGATATTTATTGCAGAAACAACTTTTCCATGAATTTCTGCAAAACCTAATCGAAAAAAAAAATCCTTCCGTTTCCAATATACCACGACTTTTCTCGAAGTACTACTACTAAGAAATGTCATGTTTTTTTCGATTTTGTTTGTCGTTTTCTGGTGACATTCATATCTCACTGAATTATTAAATATTTTTGTATCAATACAACTTATGTTTAAGTATTTCTAGTAACAAGAAGATGTGTTTAAATGAATGGTCTGTTCATAAATGAATTTTTTATCAATAATTTTTGAGTATTTAGTTTTTAGGGAAATTTTCAAATAAAATCGTCCTGTCTAACCCCATTAAATTTTTTTTGAATCATATATAGGCTCATAACATAACTCCTGGCTATTCAACAATCAAATAGGATAGGCTTTGAAAGAAAAAGGAAACTGTTTTCTGAACCATATTTTCTGCCATTTTCAAACAAGATTTGATGTTTTTTGTCAATAGAAGATCATGTCATAATTCATTTTAAATAGAAACTTGAGTTTGACGATGAAAATTTTCTACTAATCTGTTGGACAAATTTCAATTAAGTGCGCCTGAATATCAAATGCATTTTTGTGCACAATACTGTTCCAAGAAAAATACAAATGTTTTAAGAATAGAGCGATTTTTTTTTCGAATAGTTTTCAAAGAAATTCATGAAAAAAGAGAAAAGATTGGTCTACTCGAATTTTGTTTTCGAAACTATTGTATATTGGTATCTATGAAATAGATCAATGTTTATCTTTGATTAACCATCTTGATTGAGGCGACTTTCCTCATATATATAGTTTCTATTATTTTCTATCCTTAGATGTGTTAGAAAAATGTATTATAATATAATGAAAATAATCATATTCTAGTTTGTATGTACTTCTGAAGATATCAATAAAAAAGAAAATTAATGCTGTTCTACTTGTTGATTGTTCTTTTTTAATCTATTATGCAAGAGTAGTTTTAGACATAGAATGGCTTTTGTTAAGCATCTTGTATAAAATACTGATGAGCTGAGTTTTTCTCGATAGACATGTATGAAACTTAGAAAAACATCGATCATGAAAAAGAATAGATTATATCTGTATGCATGAACTCATGTACTTAACGTGTTTCCGTCCATTATTTTTTGATAGATGATCATTTGAGCAGTCGTTAAAAATTTAACAAGTTAAAGAACAACTTTGTGGTGTTTTCGTTGATGAAAAAAATCTGCTTAGTATATTCTTTCCAATCATGAAATGCAAGTCGAAAATATCAAAACGCACATGAATGTATTGATATTGAAATACTTTGATTTTTTTTCATAATTAAAAGAGTCACAGCTTGAAGGTATAAGCCGGGTAGGCATAAGTGAGGCTGCGAGACTGGTATGGATCTAGAGATGAACCAAACTCACGTCCACATCCTTACTACTATTTATTATGTAAATGCGCGACACAGAACAAAATGAATAGGGCGCCTAGGCACTCATGCAGCTGGATACAGATGATACAAACATTTGCAATTTTTTTATTCATTATATAGCTCTGATAACAAGGTATCTCTGTAAATGTAAACGTTGGTTGCATATTATTCCTCCATGTAGTTTGTATAACCATATGAATGATATATTTACGTAGTTCTGTATGAAGTCATGCAAACAAAAAAAAGAAATGATTGTCAATATATCAAGATATCTAGAGAAAGAAAATAACGTACGACGCAAAAGTAATGATGGAAAAAGTCTATCAATATTCCTCTTCGAGAAAAGAGTGCTAAAAAGAAATTTGCTTACTATAATATAGAGGTTTTTCTCTTCTTTGGAATTATATATAACTTATTTTTATAACACATTCATGAATGAAACTACGCAACAAGGACATAAAAGCACTCCTCCAAAGAATCTCCAGTTTTCGTGAAATTCAGAAAAATGATCCAAAATGTTGTTTCTTATAGCTCTTCCACCAATATGTTGTGAAACGAATATGTTGTATCAGTTGACAGAAAATTTTCTCCTCTTTCGAATAGCGTATGATTCGTATTCGTCACACATTAGTAAATGAAATCAGATATTAAAAAGAAGAAATAACCTCACATCTGATTTATATTTTTTATATAAACTTGTCGAAAACATAATGTACACTGACAGTGAGATATAATTAACTGTGATCTGCAAGATATTTCTAACGAATTCATATCAAAATCTAAATTTATCACTCAATTGTTTCGTTATTTTTTCGTTTCGTTTCAGTGAAATTATGAGTGACAAATATGAATCATACACTCATTGAAACGGAAGATTTCCTATCAATTGACAAAAAAATATTCGTTTCGGAACTCATCTATTGAAGAGAAATATGTATCAACATTTTAAGTAGATCTTTTATAGGCAGCTGCAGATACTTTTTAGGAGTACTTCTCTTCTCTTTCACATAGTTTCGTTCCTAAGGGTGTTATAAAAATAAGTTCTGTACGATTTGAACGAGGCGAAAAAACGCAATCCTATGAAGAAAAACATACGAGGGTACTTTGTATCATCAGTTTTGTATGTCACTTATATTTTTGAAATTTTTTTTTTTGAAATTCATGTTCTCGTAGTGGATCTGATTCGCAGATTTAGAATACCACACAAAACTACGAAAATAAAACATCATTATAAATTATATGATAACATCGTTTATATCGAAATGTTCCATGTCTTGATCGTTTTTTCATAAAATTTCTTGTAGCTGAAAGCCAGCGAAAGCTCAAAACTAATGAATTATCAGCGATTTTCAGCTGAGAAATATCCCTATTGTCTACAGCAACAGTGTAAGATTCTCTTTTGATAAAGAGTTCTTAGCGCTTTACCATTTAAAGTTCTTTTCAGAAATGAGTACAACGGCGTTCGCCGAACTCATTATGATCATATACCATATTTTGATAGTGTTGGTTTACAGCAAACGTATTCGTGTCGATGCGCTATATATTGATTATTATATTTCATACTCCAGTGTCCTCCTAATCAAACTAACTAGGCGTGATTTTCATTTCAGAGATAAAAAATTGAGATATCAACTTAATATATTGAAAAGATGTTTTATAGACTTTCAGATAAGTTCGTTGCTTTATTCTCTTTCTCGTAGAGAAGAGTCTTGCAAACATAAATTGTCTGATTGTTTGCTTGCTTGCTTGTGTGTCCGCACTTTACTGATTGGTCGAATAACGATCTCGACACAAAAAGGGTCCTTTCAAATAAAACTCAACCAAAGGTAATCGAGGTCGAGGAACTCGAATCTGAGATCAGTTTTTTGAAATTTTTTTTTCTGAATCATTTTTTTACACAAAGGATCACTTTTTTACGGAAAAAAATTTTTTTATAAGGGTTGACCGAAGGGTAATCGGGGTCGGGGAATTCGAATCTGAGGTTAGTTTTTTGAAGTTTTTTGTGAATCATATTTTTACACAAAGAATCACTTTTTTACGAAAAAAAAATTTTTTTATAAGGGTTGACCGGAAGGTAATCGAGGCCGAGGAATTCGAATCTGAGGTCAGTTTTTTGAAATTTTTTTTTGAATCATTTTTTTACATAAAGAACCACTTTTTTACGAAAAAGAAATTGTGTTATAAAGTTTGACCAAAGGTTTTTGAGGTCGAGGAATTGATTGGTACCGTTAGTTTGTGATAATTTTGTTGAACTAATTTTTCTTAGTAGAAAAGGCGTTTTTAGTAAAGAAAATTTTTTTTAGAAAGTTTGACCCAAGGTTTTCGAAGTCGAAAAATCTTTCAACATGAAAATTCTACAAATCCAGCCTTTTCTTGCTGAAGATGCTGAACTGAAACGTCTTGATGAACTTAATAGGAACACATACCGACAGTGCACTTTCTTCGATTTTTGAAATTATATGAGTAGTTTGCTGAATAGTTCAGAAAAACCATTTCTACGAGAAAGAGCTGAGCGAGTCCTCGGACGAGCGTTACTTGTTTTGGATAAAGTGAATTCAAACAGCGTTTTTAAAATTAAAAATAACTGAAACTGAATGAGTGTATTCGATGTAAAGAAGTTGACGAGTCTTATGTATGTAATATTTCATTAATCGTACTCTCTTAGAGTATCATTTTCAAATAGCTATTGCTAGTAGAGTCGCTTTCGACGTTAAGTCTTGAGAAATATTCAAAATATACTTGAGTCAAAAGAATGATCAGCTTTTCAATTTCTGTTAGCTTCTACCAGGAATTCTATGAAAAATCCGATTTTTGCTTGATTCTAAACTCTCATCTGAGAAGAGGGACTTCATGCTATGAAATGCCATTATACTGGAATTTCGGCACAAAGTGAGGGTACCCATTTTACGCCTTTTAGAATCTTATACAAAATTCGACGGCTGCGACTGAAAAATTCTATTCTTTTCTTTTCATTTTATAGTTGACACTTGAGACTAATGACTGTCGTCGATTTAATTGTCAGTTTTTTCCGAAAATTTAGTCCTAAGATATGCATGAAGTCAACAAATTTTCAATGAAATTGAAAAACTCAAAACTGTATTTCACATTCTCTCCCAGTGAGATAGAATGCCATAAACGTTGGAGACATGTCGTCGAATTCACACTTTGAGAGAACGTGAAATCAAGGGATGGTGTCTATGTGCATGCGAGTTTTGATGACAGTGTTGATCTAGGTGTATGGATGTGGTCTAAGAGCTGCATCGACACTCACACAAGAAAGCAGTGTCCATTGGAACCGAAATGTATAAAGAATAGTGAATGATAGATACATAGTTATATTCTTCAGTTCTTTTGTCCCTGTGAAAAACATGACTTTATGTTGAATGAAGAATATTTGTATTAAAATTAACACTTTTTCGTCGGCTCGTTTCATTGTCCACTACTGAAAATGTTATCATGTGTTAAAAGTATTTTGATACGATATGTTGACAAATTTCATTGAAATCATGCACTAGTTTTTAGGAATTTACTAAATTCACAATCTCTGCCGCGTGTGACGGTGTAACTTAGTATTTTCATTTAGAGCCTCAAGAATTCGATGTTTCTGGTGAGGAATTAAATTGTGGTGGTCGTTCTTGTGCTCGGTGTCACAAGTGTCGTGATTGGCATTTTACTGGCAATCAAGCCACCTGGAATTGGCTATGCAATTACAAGAATTGGCAACAAAAAGATAAGAACCGTTGGCTCAATGATCGTATTGAGAAGCTTTTTGAGAAGCGTGATGGTGCCACATGTCATCATAGTGTTGTTTATTTTAGTGATAGTAGTTATGATAGTCTTTTTGATCATTATCTTAGTCATGGTGGTCTTGATCATTATGGTGGTCATTATAGTGGTTATCATCATGATTATCAGGAATGTTGGTTTGGGATGTGATCTTCGATGAGCTGAGCGAGTCGCAACGTTTGCTTCGAAGTGAGAAAAAGTGGTGAAATATAGTTTGATTTGTGCTTGTGTGAACTTCATTAATTTTTTACCGATTTATATTTTATTTTTTTCTATCTTCAACTAAATTGTAATAAAGAGAACAAAAGACACACGTTGTACGACTTGAAAACCTTTTACACGTTGGTCCCTTGGTAGTTGCACCGACGCGCGAGCATCGCGGGTTTGCGGCGATGCGAGCCGCAAATTTTTCGACAGTTGTGGCTAGTGTACGGTGTAAAATATAGCAAACATAATTAAAAACTCGTTAAAATAGGAATGAAAATTAGATTAAATTATTTTTACAAATTTCGGCAGATTTAGATCTATGGATTAATATATGATTTGATGTAAAGCTAGAAAATAAATATGCTTCAGTAAAATAATTTCTTTATTGGAGAATGCTTTTGAGCCAATGGAACAGGTTTGTCATGTTTTATTGTTCCGTAATGATGATTCATAGAATATTTTTGTAGAAGAAATTATCATTTATTAAGATAAAAACATAGAAACAGAATCCAATAATAGATTTGCTCGTTTAAGTTTAGTCAGGATTAAAAAACATAGAAAGTTTTCTTTTGCTGTTTTTTTGATTGGAAAAATTGTTTGTTTGTCTCTGTAGCTTAACTCGTTCAATGGATTGGTTAGATTTGTTTGTGCATTTTAGTTCGAAGAAAAGGAGAATTATCTGAAATGGTTTTGTTAAGAAAATATTATATAACTTGATTGGTTTTGTTTTCTACGAAAAGTAGTTAATATTAAATATGGCTCATATCTTGTGTGGTTGACATAGAAAATATTGAAATATTTTTATGTTTGATTTTCCTGATGACGTGTGTGATATTCGTTCAAAATAAAAATATTGTTACGAAATGATATTCAGAAGATTGACGTTTAATTGTTGTTTTTTGTTAGTTGGTGTCAATATGCGACGGAAAACATTGTTTCTTTTTTAAATTGATACTTTAGAAAAACAAAATAGATTTTAATCCATTGAAATTATATACCATTTGAATTTGTTTATTTTTTCCCTCGTTTCCCTCGACTGTAAGGAGGGTCATACGAAATAAAATAGTTTGTCTGTCTGTGTCAAGGTCAAAAGAACATCAGGGTCAAAAAAACATCAGAAATGAAGTTTATTTAGGTGTACCTTCTAAAGTTTCACCAAAGGTTTTTGAGGTGGGGGAATCCGAATTTGAGGTCAGCTTTTCTCTCCAGCCTTCCATTGGCTGGGAAGCCGACCAATCAGAAATCAGCTTTTTTATTTTAAGTCTTTTGAACCTTTTGATAGAACTTTACTAGAGGTTATCGAGGGCTAGGATTCGGAATCTGAGATCAGATTTTACATCCGACCTTCCCATTGGCTAGAAAGCCGACCAATCAGAAACGATCTTTTTTATCTTAAGGTTTTTCGACCTTTTGATGAAACTTTACTATAGGTTCTCTAGGGCCAGGATTCTGAATCTGAGGTCAGATTTTACATCCAGCCTTCCCATTGGCTAGGAAGCCGACCAATCAGAAACGAGCTTTTTTATGTTAAGGTTTTTCGACCTTTCGATGAAACTTTACTATAGGTTATCCAGGGCCAGGTGTCCGAATCTGCAGTCACATTTTACGCCAGACCTTTTCATTGGCTAGAAAGTCTACCAATCAGATATGAGCTTTTTGATTTTAAGGCTTTTTGATCATTTTGATGAAACTTTACTATAGCTTATCGAGGACCGGGAATTCGAATCTGAAGTCAGATTTTACACCAGGCCTTCCCATTGACTAGAAAGTCCACCAATCAGAAATGAGCTTTTTTATTTTAAGGCTTTTATAACTTTTGATGAAACTGTACTATAGGTAATTGAGGACCAGGATTCCGAATCTGAGGTTGGATTTTACATTTAGCCTTCTCATTGGCTAGAAAGCCGACCAATGAGAACTGAGCTTTTTTATTTTAAGCTTTTTGTACATTTTGATGAAACTTTTCTATAGGTTATCGAGGGTCAGGATTCTGAATCTGACGTCAGATTTTGTATCCAGCCGTCCCATTGACTAGAAAGCCGACCAATCAGAGATTAGCTTTTTTATTTTAAGCCTTTTGACCCTTTTGATGAAACTTTACTATAGGTTATCGAGGGCCAGGATTCTGAATCTGTGATTGAATTTTACATCCGGCCTTCCGATTGGCTAGGAAGTCGACCAATCAGAAATGAGCTTTTTTATTTTAAGCCTTTGGTATATTTTGATGAAACTTTACCATAGGTTATGGAGGGTCAGGATTGTGAATCTGAGGTCAGATTTTATATCCACCCTTCCCATTGGCTAGAAAGCTGATCAATCAGAAATCAGCTATTCTATTTTAAGGCTTTTGTAACTTTTGATGAAACTTTACTGTAGGTTATCGATATGCCGGAATGCGAATCTGAAGTGGGTTTTTTCGGTTTGAGATTTCATTGGTGAGAAAATGGACCAATCAGAAACGAACATTTTTCTCTCGACTCAAGGGGGTGATTAAATGAAATAAAATGAGTTTCTGATTTGACAGTCATGAAGAGAGTAACGTATTCAGATATGTTAGCATGATTGCTGGTTGGATAATCTGAGTAACATCAGATATATATGAAGCTTTTTCAAGCTGGCAGTTCACTGAATAAAGTATTTTCGCTGGTCGGCTCTGAGTCTGTCAAGCTTTATTCGACTAGTAGTAATTTAACGAGTTCCTATTTCTTTCCTTAGTAGATGATGTCATAAGGAAGGGTTGATGTGTAACTGGCACATTTTCTGCGATGCTAATATGCAATAAGTGGTTTTCTTAGATAGTGTGCTCTTGACCTTACCTGATGAATTGTATCAGATCAGCTTTATCGTAAATTGTCCTATCTAGATATGTTTCTCAAAGTAGATATATGCCAGAGAAATATATAATGCGTAGAATTGCATTTACGCAAAACGCATTCAGGGTCCTGCCAACATTCACATGCACACCGACAAATACCTCTGAAACGGAAAGCCTAGTTTTAGTCGATCCGACATTATCGGTATTTAAACGTACTCGCATTGTATTTTTTTCTGGCTAATTTTTCAATTATGCGCATAATTTTTCAGATATTCTGACTCGTATAATTTCCATACAGTTACTATAACTCGAAGAAACTAAAATGAAAAAGATATTTGTTAATGTGGTCACAAGCTTTATGATAAATGTAGAAAAACCACCTATTGTTTTAATGTATTCAAATAATGGGGCACCTAGCCGTGAGTAGCGCCCCGAAGGAGCGCCGACGAACGACTAGTCGCTGATATTGCAAGTGCACTGTAGCTTCGCTTCGGAAAAGATCTATGTGAAAGCTAGGTTTATTGAGAATACTGCACTAAGATTCTCTTAATCAGGATTTCTAATCAAACTCTGATTTTTCAACTAGACAATTAGGTCGAAGAAATAAGGAATATTTCACAATAAAGTGACGGTTCGAGACTGCCCATCGAGAATTCTCATGTTATAAATGTAACGATTTTTCGAAGTGAGAGCAGCCTGAAATTTGATAGGGTGTAAGTCAAAGAGGATGATCTTATGGAAGAATAAGATTACACGTGGCAGAGGCTAGCCGCGAGTGGCGCCCCTTCGGGGCGCCGACGAGCGACTAGCTGCTGCACTGGGAAATTTCCTGAAGAAAGGCGTCAAGGTGTTAGGATTCATCGGAAAAATGCCAACGATCTAAATCTGATGGGTCTCAATAGGGGCCAGAAGTGGGAAAAGACTGAGAAATATTTTTAAGTTAAGTATGAAAACAGTTTTTCTGTACGGGCACAATATCTGCACAGTACATTAGACAGAAAACATCACTCAAAGAATTTATACTCGTTGTATCGGAAGTAGATATAAACGAAATAGACGGGAGTTTTTCTGTTGGCATGTGTTCTTGTCTGTACTCATTCAAGTGTCGGAATGTATATGAATATATTCAAACTACCTATCTAGTCTGACGGCTGCTTTGAGTAGGAGCTTCTTTCAAGTATAGTATTCCGATTACAGATCAGATCTAATATGATTTATTTTAAGCTAGAAGTTCAACTGAACTCATATTTTTCTAGCGGACGCTCTAGTAAACAATAGTGTCGGCTGATGTGCTAGTAAGCCTATGGATTTCTAGTAGAAATATCAAGGAGTATGGCGCGTTTTCACAGTAGTATCGCGAATGCGTTTTGCTTCGGGGCCTCTCAGAAAATTGAATATAATCTCTTTTTTGGGTGCGTGTGGATACTGCCACCATAGTGCAGTTCTTTAGATTTCTGTTGAGTATCAATGTGTGCGTATCAATTTGATTAGATGAATTTATGACAAAAATGTTCACCCGGACCCCCATACCATTGTGTACAACGAGATTGATGCTAATATCAACGTACACACATGTACCCACTCTTTTGAAATGTTGAATATTAGCTTTGTTGAAGACTGTAAAGCAGTATATAACACCAAAAGAGCCGAGTATACAGTCGAGGGTCAAGCGAGTCACACGGACGAGCGTTACTTGTTTTTTATATGTTTACAATATATTGATTTACGTTGAAATTAAAATTATTTTCTTGGCCCCGGCAAATATAAAACAATAAAAAGCAAAAGAAAATTCATTGTTGTTTGCGTTTAGATTCATACATTATCCACCAATTTTTTAAGTTTTTCTCGATTTTTCAGCTGGAACTGTTATTATCTGATATAGACTTATTGATCGTGGACGGAGTACTGCATTTTTTTTCTGTTCAAAGTTTCTGTTTCTTTCAATATAAACAACAACCACTGAAGCGTAAAAATAACGTTGACTTTTTATTGAGAGCGTATGTAAAAATAACAGTGTTTGTAGAAAAATTGTATGATGACTTTCATGACGAAATTAAGATATCATATCTCATTATTTCTATGATGCTCAGAAGTAGATCAAATCTTCGATATCAACAAAAACAAACTG